CCTATCCGTCTCCCCCACCAGCCTCGGAACTTTCTGTCCTGCCTTAAAAGCAGGTGTGAGCGATACGATTTCCACAAGAACTTCAAAAAATAAAATAAAATAAGTAAACTTCATTTTTCTCATCCTGTTTTTATCCATCAATCTATCTTTCACGCACACAGACAGAGACAAATAGACACCTTTATCATGGTACACTATCGATACTTGATGACCACGGGCGGTCGTTGTCACTTTTTCAAGTAAGATGCTGAAAGCAAGAAAAAATCGCTAGAAATAGCCAAAATAGTGCTAGCAATAAATTTCCGGGAAGTCTTTTAGCAAAGGATGGAAAATATGACAGTGAAATCCGAAGTACGCATTTGGTTAGCAAAAGAGGCATTCTTAGAGCACAGTGCTGAAAAACAGGAATATTTCGTTAGAATCAAAGAAATAATTGTCGGATCGCTATGTGTTATCATTCCTCTTATATGGCAGTGAATCTTAGACAATCTCCCCAGCGATGTGGAGAAAACTGGAGGAAGCAGTATTGTGCTTCTTTTTTTTTTAGTTTTTAATAATTTCACCCCAAATAAGGCAATAAAGCCACTAAGATGCTTGATGTTATCGAGAGAGAAAATCCCATTGTCATTAAAGAGAGGGAGAACATTCAAAGAACAAGAATTAAGAAGATAGAATATAACGGTGGACACTGTATTTAACTTTGAGAAAATCTAAGTTGACCGGGAAGAAAGAAGCCGAAAGAGAGGTCCACAATCGAGAAGTGCGAGAGAAGAAATTGTTAACATAGAACTTACGGTTACATCAAGCCATTTCAACTGCAAAATGTTGTTGCCAGTCTAGTATTGCGCTTAAATAGATGAAGTCTAGAGGAAAGAGAGGAAATTGATATTTATTTTTGTAAATTTACAAAGGCTAAAAGAGCGGATGGGTAAGGCTGGTCTTCATTTGTTTTATAATTAAACTTAGCTAGCCACAATTACTGACCGAAACCTATGACAGTATTCCTTACACCAAAACATTCACCATAATACCACAGAGTCTCAAAAAAATCTTAACTAGTCCCCATATGTACAATTTTATCTGGTGCCGAGGTGTAAAAATAACAATTTAAAAATCTAGCCCCATTTTTTTTTAAAATAGTGTTAGTAATACCTCCACCCCCGCCAAAATTCTTTATTGTTTCAGAAACACCAGTTAACGTGACGAAATTAATTAAGTAACTTAATCATTCATCCAAACCAGTCCCTCAAACAAATACTCATTCAAACACAACAACATATACGAAAGGTACACTCGAAAAACGACGCCCTGTCGTCTGGGGCTTCAGAATGCGCCGACTGCACCTCTGCAAGGGGCTAAGATGCCAAATGAGACGTCCTGGGTAAGACGATAAACTACATCCAACAGCAAGGCCTCTGATCAAGAGGTTTTGAGGAGCGTAGAACCACCTCATAATTGATGGTGTTCCCAGGTCCACCATGACCTGGGGTGGTAGTACCTGTCAGGGTCCCAGCTATGGGTAAATATTTAACCCCACAAAAAGGCTCAAAACTATGAAAGTGTAAAAGTAGGTTTTAGTATCAGCAATACATTTTTGTAAAAAATATTACCAGCAATGAATTTTTGAAGAAAAAATTATCATTATCAATACATTTTTGGAAAAAATGTTACCAGCAATACTTTTTTGAAAAAAAAAATAGTACCAACAATAAAAATCTTGCCGGCATTAAATAACCCATTGAGGTTGATATGCAATTAAATAACCCATTGAGGTTGATATGCAATTAAATAACCCATTGAGGTTTATATGCAATTAAATAACCGGTTGATATGCCGTAAACCAAACCAAACCTCAAAAAGACGTAAAACATCCCACACCTCTGGTCACCTGACGGGGAGTGAAGCGAGGATTAAACTAAAGAAAGTAGGAAAAAAATAAATGGGTCCACTGATCCTCTAGTTAAATGACATTCTAAAGTTTATTATATGTGGCACAAGGCTAATTGTGTGGAGCATTCCTTACACGGTCGTAATAGCCCATACCATACCATAACGGAGAGTTTATCCGAAAAGTTAACACGAAAAACACAAAGACACTACGTTGGGAAAGGGACTGAAGCTGAGATACCAGGTCATAGCCAATAATATTGCAGATTTTTCTTTTTATTTTATCCAGAATCTCTTAATTGATAGCGGGGGCACAAGACCAGATGTGGCAGCTGTATCCAAAGCAAGGGAACGACAGGTGAAATAATGAAGGGGGACTTGGGAAACTTAAGCATTTCGAGAGATATTTAGGACGAGAGAGATACAAATATATCAGGGAAGCGTTATAACAGAGGATGGAAAATGTGACACCGAAATCCGAAGTACGCATAGAGATAGCGAAAGAAGCAGTGCAAGGGCTAATCAAGGCACTGAGAAATGGGAAATTGCTATGGGATATCCATCCTCTTATATGACAGGGGACGTTGGACACACTCCCTACAGATGAGGTAAAAACTGAAAATTCCATGGAAGGATCGAGCGAGTAAGTAACAAGGAAGTCTTAAAGAAAATGGTAACAGAAAGAACATTTCTACACAAAATCAGGAAAAGACAGCTGAAATTCCTTGAACGCATAATAAAGTGGGGCTTGGAAAACGTAACACTCACGAGGCATATTAAAGACAAGGGAAATAGTGGAGGGTAGTGAACATCTTGCTTGCGTGAATATATGGCAAAACAGGGGTGAGTGCGTGAACGTTAGCAAAGGGTAAAAACTGCTAAGAGCCACACGAGATAGGAAGCTGTGGAGAGCTATGAAATGACGAAAAAAGAGAGGGAGCA